CGAAGATAAGAGAATGGTACAAAATACAGTCATAACAAAGTCCTGATAAATAAAGTTTTATTACATGTCAGCTAAAATTACTACATGCATGCAGACAAATATTCTAGGTTATCTGAAAAAAGTATTCATAACAATAATCCTTGCATTCGGTGTAGCACCTTTCACTTCAGCCACACGTCGCAAAGTGCTTCACGGGATTTTACTGTGACGTAGAGTGAATGTGCACTTGTGGGTGAATGCAGCAGCCAATTTGCACATAGCAAACGGCAATGTCCCACAAACAGCCATGAAGTGAGTGACCAATTTTATTCGGGGGGTTGTTGGCCAGGACACGCGGAGAGAAAGAGAAACTCACTTCTCTTTTCAAATAGCATCACGAGATCTTTAACGTCCACCTGAACAGGCAGACAGGACCTTAGTTTAACGACTCATCTGAAGGACGGCACCTCCCACAACACTCCCCCATCGCTGTGTTGCAGCGTCAGCTTAGAAAATGTGATTTCCAGTCCTGATGTGGGACTTGAACCCACAACCTTTTAACTCAGAGGCAAGAGCTTTACCACTGAGCCAGGCTGACACACAAATATACAACTGACATGGTACAAGTACTAAATGCAACTGCTTCTGTTTGGTATGATGAATGAGGCACAATCACGAGGTATTGAACAATACTTGCTATGTCTAGCATTGAATTAAATTAGGTGTTCAAGCAATCACAAAGGAAATTATTATAGAAATAATTAACATTCTCAGGTAATTATTATACATTAAAGTGATTAAAGATCGGGTTAAGAGAAGCTTGTAGAAGGCTGAGAGCAATCTTTGGTTCCATTTCAACTTCATTCCCAAAGTAAAGAGCTAAAATTAGAGACCCAGCTATTTTTTTCAGGGGCTAACCCTGAAAATGACTTTGTAGAACCTTCCAAACTGTAGGTTTCAACAGAGAATGTTTGAAAGTGAACTTCAAAGAACTTAGGACAGATTTCTCTTAACGTTGGGTGGTCTGACCCGACATTCTGATTGTGGGATGGTGCATGACAATGCAAAGATTTTGTGGACTAAGACGAGGCAATCATGGATCCCACCAAGTCCAAACAATGCGCACTTTGTTTCTTTCGCCACCACATATGTGTCCACCACAATCCTGTGTCTGCGTTGCTGGGGTACATTTGCCACAAGTCGCATTGTTAGGTTCAAGGGCAGTCTCCACAGTCTTACGCAAACTTCAACATTTAAAAAGAGCAAGTTAGATGCACCTCCAACCTACCCCACAAGTGTGCTAACCACATCACAGTGGAGTCCTGTAGCTCAGTGGTTAGAGCCCTCGCCTCGCAAGCGAGAGGAAGTGGGTTTGATTCACGGGCGGGGCGAAACCTTAGGCAAGTTTCCTTACTCCACACGCACCTCTGTAAGTAGGAACCCGGTTGTTAGTTGATTTGTGGATGGCTTTTCCAGGGGTAATAATCCCTTCAAAATAAATTACAATAAAATCCTGTGAAGCGCTGTGACGCGTCCCGAATGCAAGGATTATTTTTATCTAAATCTTTTCCCTTCAAGATGATATATGGATGAATTTCTCATGAATATGAACATTCTGGTCCTATCAGTAGAGAATGGAACACCTGCAATAATTGGTGATAGGAGAGGCAGTGAGAGAATTACCTTTCTCTTTGTCGCACACCCTAAAAAATCCACGCTTTACAATTATGCTGCTAATAACTGGAATAGAATGTCTAATCTTATTAAGCTACCTACTTGGTTTAATTATGGACTTAATTATTTAAAATCATGTCTCTATCAATGAGAAGCAACATTGGTATGAAAGACATTTGTATAATAGTAAGAAAATTATATTTTAGAAATGTCTATTGAGAAGATTGTTTTTTTAAATCAGAACACGGTGGATGGAGCTAAATACTAAATCTGTGGGAAAAAAATTGCTCCAGCCATTTTGCATCCATTGTATAATATATAATATAAATGGAAACTAAAATAAAATAAACAACTGGGAAATTAATGCTTTATAATTGTGGGATTTCTGATAGCCTGAGAAACTATCTAATCAGTAATAAGCTGATGTTCTTTAATGAAGGGGCCTTAACTAACTTTTTTTTTGTTCTTTCTAAATGTAAACAAGAAATATAGAGAGGTAGAATTTTACTAAAATTTGAAATTCAGAAATCTTACATCAACTCCTTCATTTTTTTAATCAGAATATTAGAAAGTAAGAAAATTGTACGTAACGGAAAAACGATCCATCAATCAACTAACAAACAAGTTCCTACTTACTGTTGGTAAACAGAGGTGTGGGTGTGAGTAAGGAAACTTGCCCAACATTTCATCCTGCCCGGGAATCGAACCCAGGTCCTCTCGCTTGCGAGGCGAGTGCTCTAATCACTGAGCTACATGTTGGCTGTTGTGCACGCGAGCTGAATGGAGAATGAATGCACCATAGGTAGAAAAGACCGTTGCTTGTAGACTCTTGCTCTACTTGTAGATGCAGAACCATAGTAACTGTTTCCCGAAGGTCCTCGTACCTTTATTTATGTACCGTGGGTAAAGTTTGGAGAAAATGTGATTAGGAGATCGCTTTGTACCAGACAGTGAAGATAAAATGAATCCCTTTGGGTAATTACATGTTCTTATTTACATATCCAATCAGTAAACTGTACTTGAAATGCAATTGAACAAATAACAAGTGCTTACAGAAACAAATACTTTGTAATCTTCACCTAATCTTGTGCCACCCAGCTATTTGTCATTCTGTGTGAAGAGTGATCCAATAGCTTGAAGCTGCAATTTACAACTACGGATAGATTGCCTTAAACAAGACTGAAGGATTGATTTCTGAAATCCAATCAAAACTCGGACTCGCACAGTTGGGTTTTGAGAATACCCAATGCTGCTGGAATTGAAATGTGCGAAAGAAATTCCACTAAAACTCACGTTAAATGCATTACTTATCCACTCAGTAAGGTACTACCAAACAATTAATAATAAACAATAGACTGCCTTGTTCAGGTTTATCATTAAACAAAACTATTGCAGCAACTATTTTCAGTGTTTTCCAAGACTAACGCTCAAAGTGGCAAAAACGTCACCTCATATGAGCAGACATTTTACTAACCTTTTCAGTCGACCCTGTGTGGGTAATATCTGATTCAATTCAATGTTAGTTTTATCCTGGGCTCACGTTATTACAGGATTATTGCAATACTGAACCTTGGTGGAACATTGCCTCACTTACTGACTTTACTGACTTAAAGGTCGTCGATTGTTTTTTCATGGGAAAAGGATGCTATTTCATTCAGATAATTCCATTGGCTCCCCCGAAAGAATAGTTAATTGCTATTATAAGTGCTTTTATTGCTGCATTGTGAAGCTTAATTTGATTTATGATGGATCCCTCCATATACAGTATATTAATGGAAAAGTACTGGAGCTTACACAATCACCTGCTTCTAACCACAGTAATTTATGGATGTCTGTGTGTATTGTATCAGCCATGCAGATACAAGACTATCTCTCATCTGTTATTAAGTGACCAGACAATATGATAAGATCCTACGCGGTTTTAACTGGTTAGACTCCAGCAGTTACCCCAACGCACACTCTGGGCTACCCCCAAGCCTTGGCTCTCGCCAACCTGCGCCTAATACTTTCCGGAATTAGGTAAGCAGGTGGCGTCCCTCCAGAGAGAGAGAGATAGAGAGAGAGCGCATTCCATTCCAACAATCTCTCACTGGGATTTCCAGGTGTAGGTGGGAGGCGGGGAATTCTCAGCTTGGTTTGGAGACTCTTAAGCAACGGTGATGGGTTTCCGCACGTGTTAAGACACCCACCCGACTGACCAAAAAAATAATAAATACAATAATACAAAGACGGGAAGTTTGTTGCTGGGTTGAGTTTAAAGTGGGGCTGATAGTAGTCACACCACTCAGGGCAATGGGTATAAACAAACAAGGAATCGTTCTTGTTGCCCGTGAACTTCACACAGTAGTGCAGGACGTGTCATGTTTTATCATGTTCCCCGTCACTGTGTGCATATTGTTGCAGGAACGCACATTGTAGCTGTACTTGGTGCCTCTTGTCTCAAAATCCAAAAGTGCAGGTTGGAAAAGTACAGCAACATGCGAAAGAACATGAAATCACCGACATCTGAATAAAGCTGTCAATCCTCGATCAAAAGATTCTGTAATACTGTGAGCAAAGGCCACATGAATGTACCTTTCTTTGAAACCTACAGTGAGGTTGAAGGTTGTTAAGCCTGGATCTCATCAAAGCCACACACGTAACCAACGTGATTCTTATACCAAGGAATGCTGAATACAGAGGGAGCAGGCGTGAGACATCGTGGAAAGTAATCGATATATGTTGACATGCATATTTCTAACAAGCAACGTTTTAGAGTGATTCAGAATCAGAATTATTTGGAGTTTTTCACGTTGCTGTCTTTTAGATTTTAAAATGAGAGTGAAATGGACCTTTGCCAATCCACTGAGCAAGATACAGTATAACAGTAATCCTTGCATTTGATACAGAGCTTTATCACAGCGCTTCGCAGAATATATTGTAAAGTGAATTGACTGCATATTTTAGGGGCCAAACACGGCAGCCAATTGCGCACAGCAGTGTCCCACAAACAGCCGTGGATTGCGTGACCAAATTCTTTTTTTTTTTTAGAGGGATTATTACCCCCGGAAAAGCGATCCACCAATCGACTACCAACCGGGTTCCTACTTACGGCTAGGGTAACAGAGGTGTGTGGAGTAAGGAAACTTGTCCAACATTTCGCCCTGCCCGGGAATCAAACCCAGGTCCTCTCACCTGCGAGGCCAGTGCGGTAACCACTGAGCTACAGGACTCCACAATTTGTTATTGTGGAATTGATTCATTGTTCATCAATTGTGGAGTGAAAACTGAAGGGCTGACATGAACCCGGCGGATTAAAAAAAGGGTTATTTTCGATTGTGACTGAAGACTTTTCTTGTTTTATTCAGGAGAAACCTTTCTGTGCAACACCCATATAATCCCGGTGAAAAATGAAGACGGGCTTGTGATCATGTTCATCATAAACTTTGAATATGTGAATGAAGAGACACCCTTGCAGTCTTCAGAGAGATTAAACCACATGTCGCCCACCAAAGCCGAAATACGTAAGTCCTCTTTTCATGAACTTAGATAATAATAATAATATTAATAATAATAATAATCCTTATATTTGATACAGCGCCGTATCACGTCGTTGAGACGTCTCAAAGCGCTTCACAGGATATACTGTATAGTGTAGTGACTGTGTATTTTGTGGGTGAATTAAGTATTTGGGGTTAAGGGTTACCTGAAGTGCTACCGGTAATACGTTGAAAATCCAAATAACATTTCATTTCACATTAATTGGAATTGTTCCCACTCCATCTCTGGTCAAATTAATGCAATACTCGTTTGTTTGCTTTCAAAAAAAAAGGAAGAGGTAAAAGGGGTGGTGGAGTTACCAGACTATTTTCCCCCTGTTGTTGCCTCAAATTTATGACCTGGACGAGACAACAAGAAGGATGGATTCTACACTGTGCGAGGCAGAAATATTACATTTAGTGCAATGCCCTAAAAAATCTCTCCCAGACACTACAGTAAAAAAAATTTAAATAATAATTATTTGGTCAGTCAGTGGGACGCTGCTGTGCGCAATTGGCTGCCGCATTTCACCCACAAAATATACAGTCAATTCACTTTACAGTATATCCTGTGAAGCGCTTTGAGACGTCTCGAAGACGTGATAAGGCGCTGTGTCAAATGCCAGGATTATTATTGTTGTTGTTGTAAAGTGGGCTGGTTGTGGCCCACCCTGCTCTAGATGTTTAAGAGACCTGTGTGTTTGGGTCTGATTTTGCTCGACGTTGCCTCAACCCCGTGATCACAGTTCTGTGATTTTGTTCATTTGTGCAGCGTGAGCACTGAACTGTGTAACAGTGACGAGCTGCCTAGTATTCTGATTCCAAACCATGTCCATAAGGACTGCTTAGAAAAGGAAATTGTTCACATAAACCCCGCTGAAAGGTCGAGTCACATCATGGGATTGTTCAGCGACGTGAAAAAGGTTAAGGTACAAATGTTACGTGTTTGTTTCTATTTCTGTTTCAATCTGGATTCCGATTTCACTCATACAGATATATCTATTCTTGACACAATATAGATTTTCATTAGCGCTTAACCAAAAGAATTAGATTTAAGATGAGCTGGAACAGAGTAAACTTATACCTAAGATATGGACCGAATACATATTTGAGCTTTCAAGATTTATTCCCTGACATGACCTTGAGTCGCACATAAAATTACATCTATAAAAAAAACTAAAATAGTACAATATTAAGGAACACAATTTTGTAACTATATTGCTTTTATTCTGATGAATTCAGGCCCCTACAATATAAATTAAATTCAATGTGTGGTGTAGTTAAACTGAATTTATATTATGTCAAAGGTGACAAATCTATGTTGGTTCCGTGGTCAAGGATAGAATTGAATGTAATATAAAGAGTGTAATATTGCTAATTATTGCTTTTTCCAATGGCAAAAGCAAGCGATTTACATGAGTTTAATCAGTAATCTCCATATGGCTTGTGTTAAGTCCTGACCCAACTGCTGAACATGTTCATACTCTACATTCCTGATAAGACATTGAGTGGAAGAGGGCTCTATTTTTCAAAAAAAAGATTTTGGCTTTTATTTCAGAACTCATTAAATTTAGAAATGGAAACCAAACCCGATTCCTCAGCGCTCTGAACTGGATGGTTAGTTAGGCATTGCTAAGTTAAAATAAAATAAAATGAAATCAATACTTCCAACCTGTTTGTTGAGCTCCTGTCCCAAAGGGCTTGCTTGTCACAGTCACAGTGGCCGGAAAATCAGATAATAACAATAATAATCCTTGCATTTGATATAACACCTGATCACGTCATTGAGACGTCTCAAAGCGCTTCATAGGGTACACTGTAAAGTGAATTGAATGTACACAAATATAAGAACGTAAGAATTTACTGGTGAAAGAAGACCCATCCATCCATCCAATTCGCCTTCCATCATCCTGGAAGTCGCTTGCACATGACTTGTCCCAAACTATATCCTGTCTCCCGAAATATAGTTTCCTAGAATTATTAAATGAGGTATTATTTCCTATATAATTTGCTTTTGAAATAATCATCACTTTCTGCTTCCACCGCCTGTTCCATAAACCAAAATAACACAGTGGAAAATGAAATATTTTTTGTTCCAAAATTCCTTTGTGTATCACACACTCGTTACAGTAGAGCCAGAAACCTGGGGATGAAGTGCTAAATACAGAATATATTTCACTCGTGTGCAGAATCTACAGGTAGCCTGGTAACACTGGAGCTCATGATGAATTCACTCCCTCTCACCCACGGGATAAATTCTGTATTCCACAGCTTACTGCCAAATATTCCTATGACCGCATGTTAACGAAGAGGATATGCCAAACATTAAATTCATAATCATTTTTTCATCAGGAATTACAAGGTTATTTCATAACATTCAAACATGTTATATAACAATTGTAATAATAATATAATAATAATCCTGGCATTTGATATAGTGCCTTAATACGTCATTGAGACATCTCAAAGCGCTTCACAGAATGTACTGCAGAGTGAATTGACTGTGTGTTTTGTGGGTGAAATCAGAGCTGATCAGGGATGTTTTTCTGTCACTCACTTGATAAGGTTAGCTAACAGGAGAGTCTGGCGCTGTTTCCATGCAGACTGTGTGAAAGGAAAGCTAATGCTGTTAGAACCTACAAAAAAAAACTCCCTGTGAAGAAAGTGCATTTACCAGAGAATAACACTGTATGACCTGATCTCACCAAGATTATTTTCAAGGTCTCATCTGATAGGGAAGGACAGCCTATAGCGCAGCAATGGATAATCAGCCTGAGACGTCACACATTCAAAACTTTTGTTGAAAACTCCTGTAACTTTCCTGCTTTCTGATGTACTTTGTAAGCTCCCCCATCCTGGAGATTCAAAGCAAGGGGATAACCGGCTTTGACTATCGCTTACTTTTACAAACACACTGTAGTCCTTGCTGACTAAAGTACTATATAAATCACAGCCTGTGATTCACTGGAGGTTTAGAGCCCTGACTGGTGGGAGTTGGCAAAGGGGATCAATCAATCAAGAAGGTGAGTAAAATACACCCGGTGTGCTCTCGATGTTTAGAGCAGCAGTTAACAAATCAATAGCTGATTTAGAAGCCCTGAATACTCTCTGTGCGTTCCATACCAGAGTTCAATGGCTTTGATCAGTATTAAACATGCAACGTGTTTTACTGTTCTTGAGTTGGCCCCAATCCTCCTGTTTCTAACACGTCTAGTTCACTTGTATTTCAGATGGCAACCCCATATCCAGTGACTCTTCTGCAGGTAAAGTTCACTACTGTCAGTCGTGATGTGTGTGTGCAATGTTTATGATGTGTTGCAGTGGGATGTGTTGATAGAAACTCTCAATGCAATCCCGTACTAAAGGGCTATTTGAACAGTATTCCTGTCCTAATTGAAACAGATAATGGGTTGCTTCGAAAGCAACAGTTACTTTTACTTTCTGTTTTCAAAGCCTGAAGGGATTTGAAATCGGGTCTGAGGATCTTGAAATAAAATAAATAATATAATAATCCTGACATTTGATACGGTGCCTCATCACGTCTTGGAGACGTCTCAAAGCGCTTCACAGAATATACCACAAACTGAATTGATTGTACATTTTGTGGGCGAAACACGGCGGCCAATTGCGCACAGCAGCGTCTGTCCCACAAACAGCCGTGGATTGAGAGACCAAATTATCATTATTTTTTGGAAGGAATTTTTACCCCCAGAAAATCGATCCTCCAATCGACTGACCACCGGGTTCTGTTGTTAGCCGATTGGCGATGGGGAGGCAGTGGAGTCTGGCGAGGACTGTGTGATGGGTCAAAGCTGTTCAGTTTGTCTCACTTCCCTCCGAGCCTCGCACTCCACTTTATATGTTGGAATGCTCACAAGCCTTGGCTTGTTACAGGGGTCAGTACTGCATGTGAGACACTGTCCCTCAGGATATCAGACCAGTCTGTCAGCGTGACACAGGTTCCCTCCCCACCCACACACCCACACACACTCACTCACCCACACACTCACCCGCACACTCGCACACTCACACTCACTCACCCACACGCTCGCACACGCACACTCACACTCACCCACACACTCACCCACACACTCACCCACACACTCGCACACTCACACACCCATACACACCCATACACACTCACACACACTCACACACCCATACACACTCACACACACTCACACACCCATACACGCTCACACACACTCTCACACACACACACACCCATACACACTCACACACACATACACACACACTCACACCCATACACACACACACCCACACACACACACACCCAGACACACTCACACACCCATACACACTCACACACCCATACACACTCACACACACACACACCCATACACACTCACACACACACCCATACACACTCACACAGACTCACACACACACCACACTCACACACTCACTCACACACACCATACACACTCACACACTCACTCACACACCCATACACACACATCCACACACACACACACACAATGCAGCTGCTCAAAACACAAGCCGTGTCACGATAAACGTGGCTGAGGGCAGCGATTTCGCTGAGATTTCGAAATTGCAGATCGGGATTTTTTTTCATTGAACGCAGTAAAATCTTGAATGAAAACAAGATGCGTCAAGTAAAAATAACACTTCCTCTTCCTAATCTGTGGCTAATGAGATGGGGGAAATTCGCATTTCATTTCCAGCTGAGCTGTCCTGAGAGACGATTCAGTAACACAGTCTAACATGTTCATGTTGAGGCAGTCAGGCAGACAGGGCCTTGTGTAGACGCAATAGATAAGGAGGGAAAAAAACAGTTTTCTCCTTCTAATGAGCAAAATGACCTTTCTTTTTAATGACATGCAAACAATTCTCATTTACCAAACAACGCAAAGACGTAACGTATAAAAGCTGCAATATATTGTAATTCGAGAAGGATGTGAAGTACGTGGAACCCATGGCTCATCCCGAAAATGGCAGAATAAACTGCTGGACTGATAAAGCCCTAATGATTAGGAATAACTGTGTTTATTTAAAATAAAATTTCACATCAATTTATTTATAACATGGGTGATTTTATGCTTGCTAGATTAAAACTGTGAGCTGGGTAATTTAACAGAGATGAAATAACATTCACCTTTAGAAAATAATGTATTTGAGATTCATACGTGAAGATATTGTATTACAAACTGTTTTCCGATTATGATTGAGGTATCAGAAAGGTTCCTGTTTGATATGATTAATCTGAGTGTTATCAGTGGCATTTACTATCCACTTATAGCACAAAATAATATTATTATTATTATTATTATAAAACACTGCAGAAACAGGGATTTATTAAAAATGCAGTGAGCATTGTACATGATTAATTGGAATAAGCCAGGAATCCATCCACTGTCACTGACCGCACAGGATGACACTACACTCGAGATTTTAAAATGTGTTGATGTTGGTGTTTTATTTTTCTGCTCGGTTAGTGAGAGCTTTGTGGAAAGACTGATGTTTCAGGGATGGATGTTCCTCCTTTGTCAGTCAGTCTGATGACCAAGTGAAGGTAAACACACAGCAATCACACAGCTCCCACTGAGAATGAGTGCATTCTCACTATTTGGCAGCTATAGCACAGAGAGGTCCTCTGTGTACCAGGGAACCTCTCTTACATACGCTTTAGGTTCGGCTGCTGATAGCTTTAGATATCTGAAACGTGTCAGAACTGCTCGCTTAGGATTGCTTGTCCATCTTGTTGACTTGATGGTTCTCAGAAATTGTTATTACCATTTCCCACTTTGCTGGTTCTCACCATCCTCCTTATTTTACTGTATGTAGGAGGTGGGTTTAAGTCAAATCAACAAAACTAACCCAACCTCCACTCATAGAAATATTTAGAAATACTATATTTAAATATCTCATATTTCGCCCATAAAATACACACACTCAATCCACTTTATAGTATATTCTGTGAAGCGCTTTGAGATGTTTCGATGATAAGGTGCTATATCATGTGCAAGGATTATTATTATTATCACAGGATACAATAATATTACAGTGGAAATAATTGTATAGTTAGTTAATGGTATAAACTCCAAACCAACATCGTTGTCCAGTTTAAAAGAATCTTAAACATAAAGTAATTGTGAAAATCTCCCACCAAGATAATATCACCTTTAAATCATTCATTCCACATTCATATATCTAAAAAGGTGGGAGACAAATACTGTATTGAATTTCCAGTCCAACAGTTTGCCCTGATGACAAATGACAGAAGTCATTGTATAGCACAGCCCCTAAATAATGAGGGGTGTCAGTCTAGTCATGTGAAGTGTGTTCTTACTGTTGGCAATACAGTACGTCTACAGTGAGATAAGACACTTCATTCTGAAAAATTATAGTTCAGAATATCGTGAACCGACACTCAACAGAAAGAGAGCTTCCCTTAGCTTCCCGCACACTTCAACCTCTCCGAAGGGTTGGCAAAGGTGACAGACACATCACTTACAGAATTGCCACATCGTTCAAGAAGAGCAGCTGAAAACGTGGAAAACCATAGTGTGCCAGAACCACCAAGTGCCATCCTATTCTTGTGCCATTCTGTGAATTTATGGGAGCGCATAATAATAACACAAATAACAATAATAATAATAAAAATAATCCTTGCATTTGATATAGAGCCGCATCACAGCTTCGAAACGTAAGTGACCAAATTATTTTTTTTTTTTGAAGGGATTACTATCCCCGGTAAAGCGATCCGCCAATCGACTAACAACCGGGTTCCGACTTACCGCTGGGTAAAATGTCCCCGCTTTTGTTTCTTATGTGGCCGTAGGTCCTATATAATACACGAATGGTTGATAATAATAATAATCCTTGCATTTGACACAGGGCCTTATCACGTCTTCGAGACGTCTCAAAGCGCTTCACAGGATACACTGTCAAGTGAATTGACTGTGTATTTTGTGGGCGAAACACAGCAGCCAATTGCCCGCAGCAAAATTGCTTGGTATTATGTACTCTTGACAATTGGTTTTATTTACTGCAGGCAGAGGAAGATTCTTCAGATTAAAACTACCTGTGATAAGACTCCTTGTGTCCAGCAAACAATCGCTGCCTCAAGAAGACCCTGACACGGTGGTGGTGGAGCCAGGCAAAGCAAGCGACGATTCCATGGCTATGCTGCCCTTTACATCTCCCAAAGAAAGCTTTGGTCCTACAGATTTGGAAGACACAAAGGAACTGCCGGAGTCTGGTGGTGATGGTGATTGCCCTGCGTGTGTTGATATGCCAGGACCGCTGTGCCATTCCTCACCTAAACGCCAGTGGGACAGATTGAATCCAGATATGTTGCAGTCTACCACTGGTCTGATTCACTCCCAGTCGAGGGAAAGTATTTGCAGTATGAGGAGAGCTTCCTCGGTCCATGACATCGAGGGATACTATGTTGATTCCAGGAGTATGTTTAGAGATCGACATGCCAGCGAAGGTACGTCTGAGCTTCTTGACCAAGCACGCTCTCTGTCAAGGCCGATGTTCTCAAACGATTCCACAAATATCTGACTTGCGAATTGTGGTGGATCAGTGTTTAATTCTGTTTGATCCACAAGCCCTTGCGCTAACGCCCATTGCCTTGTGGGCACCGCAGGTGAAGAGTTTCTCTAGGTCCCATTTTTAACGACGCAGCATATTAAACTCTTAACAGTCTCCATTAATAATAAAGGATGGGTCAATGCAGAATTTTGTTTTCAGATTGAGTAAACAGCCTAACACAGGGCGAGTCCCATAATAAGGAGATCATAACAGTTGGTCTCATTGTACAGGTTTCACGAGAGACATCGCCTTGATCGGGGGAGTTGCATAAGGTGTCATTGTTTTTATAGATAAGTCTCCCTACATTTCCCATTTTACAGGGCAAGTCATGATAGCTGACCCATTTATAATGGATAACATGACTGTGGTTTATACAGAGAGAAACATCATACACATAGCAAGCTGCTTAGTGTGTTACCAGTGATAATCTTTTATATAATGAAATTCCCTACTGACAGCCCTTTATTGTGAGTCACTCTAGTTGGCTATAAAATTCCCATCAAATGTCCATTTTTACAGCGTCAGCCACTAAAGACACCTCTTAGTTCCATACTGTTATTTCTGAAGCAAGATGTACTTCACTTTCTTTTTTTTTAAAAATGTGCTCTTTAGTATTCTGTCTTTTCTTGTTTCTTTTTTCCTTTAATTGTCACTCTTGTGCACCTTTAGACAACGGACGCAATATTAAAGGTAATATGTTTTGCCTAAACCCTGCATGTTTCTCTTTGGATGACTGTCCTTCCTTCAGCACCTCCGACTGTTTTTTTGGTCAATCGGATGTCTGATACATATGGAAACCCATCACCATTGCTTAAGAGTCTCCAAACCAAGCTGAGAATTCCAGGCCTCCCACCTACACATGGAAATCCCAGAGGGAGATTGTTGGATTGGAATGCGCTCTCTCTCTCTCTCTCCCGAGAGGGCTTGGCTGGAGAGCATTAGGCGCAGGTTGACAAGAGCCAAGGCTTGGGGGGGAGCCCATTGTGTGTGTTGGGTGTAAATGCTGGTGTCTAAACAGCTAAACCCACATAGCTTGGCCATTGAGAGAGAGCGCTGTCTAGCAAGCTTTCCTGCTGCTTGTCCAGCTAGGACCACCCCTCCCCGTTAGTTAGGGCTTTGGCTGCAGGGTTAACAGGAGCTGAGTGGGAGGATTCCCTGCCCTCAGTGACTGGTCGGCCCTTCCAGGTGTATTTGTCTGGGCAGATAAAGCGGGAGGAAATATTAGCTTTGGACCATGTTTATTCGCTTACACACTCAATATCAAGTCACTTGGCTGATCTCAGACAGATGGTTAGCAAATGGTTCAAAAGTATTTGAGCTCTGATTCATCAGCAACTGTAATGACTTGACTTCCACAGTAATCATTGGGAATTATTGTTATTCTTTCTGAGAGACATGTGTGAAGTGTTGTGTTTAGAAGCTATTGATCTGATGTCTGATGTCAGATTGTTCTGTTGAAAGAAAGGGGATCAGCCAAGCCGAGTGCAATATATTTGGACTTGAACATAATTCAGGATTGCTTCTCTGACAACCCAGTGAGGTAAAGACATCAGCTAGTACAGCTCTAAACCATACATACACATCAGAAGGCAGCAGGGTTGCCTGAATTAACTTATCTAAGTCAGGGCAACAGCACTATTAGGCTCAGCAAACATGAATCTGTGAAGGAAATAAGTCAGCCTGTTTCTAATCACTAGCCAGGAAAGTGCAATATCGCCCACAGGAAGGCGTACTATGGATTTTATGTAACAGCATTTTTTGGGGGGTCAGCCAGGTGGGTGTCTAACACATGTGGAAACCCATCACCGTGCTTAAGGGTATCAAAACTGAGCTGAGATTTCCCTGTCTGCCACCGACACGTGGAAATCCCAGAGATAGATTGTTGGAATGCAATGCGCTTTCTCTCTCTCCCTGTCTTGCTGTCTGGGCTCATACTTAAAAATAGTCAATTAAGAAAAGTACTAGATGACAGCTGGTGACTGTGGTACAATAAATACCCGAGTATGTGTCAGTACCTTCAGCAGGTGAGAAAAGGAGAGAATGTTTAAAAAGTAGTAGTGTTTGAATTTTTTGACGTATGCACTGGCTTTTTCATCAATGACCCGTTTAGAGAAAACAAACCATATTTTACAGATTAAAATAAGGCAAAGGCAAAGGCCTTTCAGGTAGAATAATCTCTTCAAAAAATATAATAATAATAATTTGGTCACTCAATCCACGACTGTGTGTGGGACGCTGCTGTGCGCAATTGGCTGCCGCGTTTCGCCCACAAATATACAGTCAATTCACTTTACAGTGTGTTCTGTGAAGCGCTTTGGGACGTCCTCCCGACGTGAAAAGCGCTATATCAAATGCAAGGATTATTATTAAACATGTAGCTTGCGTTTTAAGAGCATAAGAATTTGCTGGCGAAAGAAGACCAAGTTCTGTCTAGTTCGCCTTCCACCATCCTGGCAGTCGCTTGACATGTCGTGTCCCAAACTCTACACTGTGTCCCTGGTTATTATTTAGCAGAAATCTATCTCATTTGTTCTTGAAACAAATAACATTTTCTGTTTCCATCGTCTCCCTGGGGAGCCCGTTTCATATGTTTACTACTTTTTCCATAATCTGGTTAACAACTGGATAATATTGTTCTGAAGGTTACGACTAATGCAGCACCTTGGTGTAAAGTAGCTCTCTAAGGCAGATTTTCCTTACAGTTTCCCATTTTATGTTTCTTTCTAATAATAGTTTCCCTATTCCTGGATGGCAGGAAGGGGGTATTCTTGCTCTAATTGTGAAATGATATTCATGCCTCTGGCTCCCATACTTCATCCCATTAAGTCAGTTCCTGATATGTTTAATTATGCATTTCCTTAATGAAAAATGCATTTGAATATTCTGTGAGAGGGCGGAAGTTCTCCAATGCCTTCGTTCATTTGAGAAACGAAGAGCGACAAAACAACTGCACTGTTTACCTGAAGAAAAACTGAGACAACATTGAGACTGCATTTGATTTTATGGCACTGCTTACAATTTTGAGCTTCTAGCTATCATTCTATCGTGGCCTATAAGAAATGTGCTGTGCCCTTCACATGACCTTTTCCACGTGTTGAGGTGGTCATGTTGAAGATATCTGCTTTGAAACCTATTCCCCTGAGCAATGGTTATCCAGTCTGAGTTCAGACTACATTAAAGCGATTCATTAATTACGATGGCCTTAGTCAGAATGGTCAGTGTCTGAGCCACAGCATAATGCAGTCTGAAATCATACTTATACATCAAGTGCTAATTTAGCACAGACTTAATTAGCGCCTGAAAGGCAAAGTTATTATAAATGAGGACAACTATTTTTGGAAGGGAAGAGTAATGGTATCAGGATTCTACGTTAAAAAAAACTTTTCTTTTGTTTTACATGCACAGTAGTTAATCCCCATTTCCAAATCCTGCTTATCCCACCAACTGTGAGGAAGATGTATGCATCTGTCGGGAGCTAAAATGTTATCAGCGAAGCCTTGGGTGCATTCTTGGAAGTGTGAGGCCTTGCAGGTCACTCACTGCCTGTGATACATACGTACAGAAATTATCAGCCGCCCTTCAGCGGAACATCACACGGGCTCTTTGCTCAGTGAAGAATCTAAAAGCCATGGGTATTTATTCTCCAAAGATCGAGTGACAACACCTTTCACTTTCTACTGCACAATATGATGGCTGCACTTGATTCGTCTGCACTTCTCAACGTTACTGCTCCATTGTAGACTCCAAATAGGTTCTGTCAAAGAAACTGGCAATAAAGGTGAGATATTGTACTTCACTCTCTTTGTTCCCTGAAGTGACAGTGTCACAGTCGATCACTGAATGCTGCCGACACAATGAGGTGCGATCAGGATTAATGGACATAAATGTGAGAGGGCGTTACACAAATAGTATAATAATAATAATAATCCTTGCATTTAATATAACGCATTATCACACCTTCGAGACGTCTCAAAGCGCTTCATGGAATATCCTGTAAAGTGTAATGACTGTGCATTGTGTGGCCAAGACAATCCTAAGGAAAATGTAAACAAAACCACCCTCTAGTTCAGAATATTTGCCAATTTCCAAATACCATTTTACATTGACCAGAGTGACAGTGAACTACGGTGGAAAACAATAACCTTTCACGGCTTTGACAGATCACAATGAGGTGTGACAGCTTTCTGATCAAGTGAAAGAATGTCTGGAACCCACTGCGGATACTGCGCACATTCTGTACAGGTTCTTTGTTTGGCATCAAATGAATTCTCACAGACTCGGTGTTGCCAAAATACTAAGTTGTGTTTTACTACAAAGCGGAGGGTGGGGGAGGGGGGGTGTGGGGGTGGGGGATCAGTTGAGTACTTCCAATCACATCATCATGTGCGTTGTACCTGGGCTCAGTTCTGCGTGCTTCATTCGCCTTGAGCTAATTGACAGTTCCCGCTCAGGAAATTCCATCTGTCTTGGATAATTGACATCTTAGCTCTGCATTGCATTCATAGTTGTTGATGAAATTCCTTTTTGATGGTGAAGACACCACAGTTATAGAGCTGGCTTTCCTCCCCCTTTTCTAGGGAAGGAGTCTAAACTGTCTAATCCGATCAGCAACAGGGAACTGGTATTCCAATCTCTTCAGTAGGACAGTTTTCCTGAAACCTTTATGATCTTGTACATTACACCCACAGTCAACCATCCTGGATTCAACCTCCCTAACTGGCAATCTGTTCCAGTCATTAATTACTCTTAGGATACAGAATATCCTCCAAGTACCTTCTCCTAAAATTGCCCTTTGCAATTCTAAACATCATGTCCTCTTGTTCTACCGCTTGTAATCTTCTTAGAATCATAGAATATTACAGCACAGAAGGAGGCCATTCAGCCCACCTTCTTGAAACCGTTTCCTGTTATCCTGTTCTCTACTTGTTCTATTTAGTACGTAAACACTTAATTAATCCGGTTAGAAACTCACTTGTCCTCGTGAAGATGTTTTACAGGATGTTGCAGGGGGACGTTTGATACACGTCTATGACCTTCAATATTGCTAACACATCCTTGGGACCTCCTCCCGACGTGAAAGGCGCTCTATAAATGTAACTTTGTTGTTGTTGTTCTTACAGCTTTAAAGGCTGCTCAGTGTACGTCTAGTGGCTATTGCCATTTACAATCTGTGGCCTGTAGTTTATCTGAATTACTAGTGTCCCAAGTGTAGTGCTTGACAGTGTTGATCTTTATCAACAGCTTGTTAGGCCAATGTCCTCCACTTTCAGAAAGATCGGAGGTCCTGTTTACTCTAGGCATTGTTAAATGTGGCATTCGGAAAGTAAGAGAACATTTAAACTTTAATTTCTACTCCTGAGGAATCCAATATTGGATTCAGTGAGTCAAACCTGGTGCATTACTGATATTCTGTCCCCGGGCATCAATATAATTAGATATATTTATTAAATATGTTACTGACATTTATGGCAGAACAGTAAGAGCAGAAACATGTTAACATTCCTCACACTGACAAGCTATCTGGGTTAGGCACTATAGAACCATAAAAATTTCCAGAACAGTAGGTCTATCCGGCCCATCGTGTCTATTTTAGCTCTTTCAAAGAGCAATTTATTCATTCCAATTGTACTTGCCTTTTTAACAAAAATAATCCTTGCATTCAATGCAGGGCTTTGTCACTTCGTTGCGACGTCTCAAAGCGCTTCACAGAACACATTGTAGAGTGAATTGACTGTGTCATTTGGGGGCAAAACCCGGCAGTCAATCACACACAGCAGTGTCCCACAAACAGTCGTGGATTTGAAAGTTGGGAAAGAGGGGGAAAGGTGGAGGGATGGAGGGAGAGAGTTCCAGAGTTTCGGGGTGTAGTAGCTGAAGACATGGCCACTGATGGTGGAGCAGAGGGGACGAGGGACAAGCAGGAGACTGGAGCCGGCCGAGACAACCTTCTACTTTGCTAATATTATTGTTTATGCAGTCCAGCAACTACACCTTATATTGGATCTCACGTCACTTTGTGTAAAGTTCAGGTGACGAGTTGCACACTTAACAAAGCTGTACCCAGGAAAGCCCAGTGTAAAATAGCAATGTGGCATTTTCCGAGCTTTTCAGTTGCAATACGAGTAGTTAGAGGTGACGTTTCTTCACTCATCATATCGTAGAAATCTGTAATTGTCTCCCTGCTTCCCCCCTGCCCTCCACTCTCCCCGACCCCTAGCTCGGTCCGAAACTCTGTCTGTCCAGCGCCTTGGGACTTCCTCCCGACGTGAAAGGCACTATACATATGTAATTTTGTTGTTGTTGCTGTTGTTGTTGTCTGGTTAAAGACCCAGGTGTTTAACCTAGCATTAGATGACCGTGCGATCAATATCAGTAACACAATTGGCTATCACCATATTAATAAAGCCCCTGAATACTGATTTACATTGATGATTATAGAGTTTCAATGGTGATCTTTACCTGCCTCGGCAGTAGGAACCCCTCACTGTGTGACTAACTGTTATTGTAAGTTTAAACTCTGTTTGATAGCTATTTGGCACAGTAATTAGATGTTCTGACAGTTTTTTAGAGTTTAAGTCCCTTTATTGACTTTTACTTCCAGACTGGTGAATGGAATACCAAATCTAATGGTATTAATGAGCTAAGGAACTTAGAAGCCTAGATATATATATATATACACACACATATATCATGTTCCTTTGTCATGCCAGTATTTATTTTAGCACTCACTTTAAAGTTATGACTGGCATAACACATTTTCCAATTATACATAGAGCTTCTTGTTCATTGGATTCTAATATCCTTGGTAAGGAATCTAAGTGTAACCTCCTTCAGTTGAGCAGGACTATGTCAAACCATGGGAACTCCACTCTGAAAGTAGATTATACATGGCCTACTTACAGTCTCCTTACTAAGAAATCCAACTAACAATAAGGGTATTTTAGGGCCTATTATAAGAAGAATCCTTGCATTTGATATAGAGCCTTATCACATCGTCGAGACGTCTCAAAGCTCTTCATAGAATATAGTGTAAAGTGTAGTGACTGTGTATTTTGGGGCCAGCTAGTGGCTCAGCCAAGGGAAACTTTAGATATTGCCATTTAATATTAGAACTGACAGCTATATTAATCAAACAAAAAATATCACCAACTCTTCTCTTTTTTTTTCGGTAAACAGTAGTACATATAGCCAGGAGCCACGGCATAAGATAACCTTTCACCCACATAATATACAGTCAATTCACCTTGCAGTATATTCTGTGAAGCGCTTTGAGACGTCTCAAAGACATGATAAGGCGCTGTATCAAATACGAGGATTATTATTATTATACCAGCGCAGGCTGGCCACCTCAAACAGCTGTAAGCTAAAGATTGCGGGACCTGAACATTTGCTAGTAAACCTTTCACATCTACAAGTTATTTGAAACAAAGCCTTGAGTTGAACTGCAGGCTTTAAGTTCTCAGGCCCTTCACACCAGGATAGCACGCTGAGGTTTTGATCAAAGACATTTTATTTTTCTCCCAAGCTCTATGCTTCTGAAAGGTTACAAAGAGCACTACCTTAGATAACAATTGCCTTTACAACCTTCTGTATTTGTAGTCACCGCTTAGCCCTCCACCATATGGTGAGGAGCAATGAAAACCTTTGCCAAAGAGTCCTCATTCTTGGTGAGAAAATAATAATTATAACAATTCTTGCATTTGATACAGCGCCTCATCACATCTTCAAGGCGTGTCAAAGCACTTCACAGATTATACTGTAAAATTAATTTTGTGGGCAAAATGCGGCAGCCAATTGAGTGCAACAGCGTCCCACAAACAGTCGTGTATTGAAGTGACCAAATTATTATTATTTTGTATTTTTTGAACGGATTATTACACCCAGAAAGCGATCCATCAATCGACTAACAACCGGGTTCCTACTTTACTGCTAGATAAACAGAGGCATGTGTGTGGAGTAAGGAAACTTGCTCAACGTTTCGCCCTGCCCAGGAATCGAACCCGAGTCCTCTCGTTTGCAGGTTAAAGAGGGATGGTAGTGGAAGCCTAGAGAGAACCTATCGGTCTTTCCCTGAGCTCCTGGTCATAGAAAAAGAATAAAAAATTTGGGATGAAATACCTTAGATAAATGGGGGGAGGAAGAGTGCAACTAAGTGCATTTCAACTCAAAATGAAAATGTCTTTTTTTTTGTACTTTCTACTTTTTACAACAAGAAGAGCATTTTGAGTCCACAGTTATGCCCCCAAAAAAGTTCAGATGGAAGTAATGATGTAAGAAAAATATTTTATTATAAAAATGGACAGAAAGCATGACTCGATCTTTATAATGGGAACGAACCATTATTGCTGAACCGAGGCTACAGACAGGCAATTACTTTTGCAAAGCATGTGTTTGCCTTAAACAAAGACACTCTCTGTGGAACCACCGGGTAGTAATGGCATGAGCTCAGGGCCTCAAACTATAGTCTAGCCGTGAATTCAAGAAGTGAAAATACAAGTGTTATTGAGTGAAAGTCCATTACCTGTACATCTGTACTTCATAAGCCAATTGATTGATTGATTGATTGACCGACCGATCTTGTATCCATTGGCTCATTTATCTTGTGTTTTGCTTTTACGCTAATTGCCAGATAATATTTGAATTGCACATTACATGCTCTCCAAAAAAAGAGCTTGCTTCTCTTGACTTTGCATGTAACGCAGCCACCTGGTCATCATCATTGTCTGGGTGTCTGGTGACTGATCCCATTTCTGAGATGACGTAATATAATGTTGTTAGAAGGAATGACTCCTTTGTTTAACTGATATAATTGTTTTATTATTCAGAAAACGTAATGAGTAAGTAGATGTATTTTTACGATTCGAAAGTTGAATAAATTGTAATTACTGAAATGACTAGTTAATGCGTTCTTATTAATTATATAAATAAAAGACGGTGCTTTGCATAATGATGATGAGAAATCCTAATCTGCTGAGTAGACTGATCAGCATCACAACATAAAATGATGGAATAATAAATGGTGTAATCATTGTGCTCTCTCCCACAGTCTAAAGTCTTGTATGTGTTTTACTGTTCATTTTCCCCGCAGGACATTTTAACCATATCAAGTCCAGCCTATTGGGCTCCACGTCCGATTCTAATCTCAACAAATACAGCACCATTAGCAAGATTCCTCAAATCACCTTGAACTTTTCCGATATAAAACCTGAAAAGAAGAGTTCATCCCCACCGTCCTCAGAGAAGACCATCATCGCCCCCAAAGTGAAGGAGAGGACACACAACGTGACTGAGAAAGTCACACAGGTAAGGAATAAAAATAGAAGTCGCTGGGAACCCGCAGCAGGTCAGGCAGCATCTACGGAGAGGTAAGGTGCTAGGACAGTCAAAACAATTTTTTTAAATTTTCTTCCAAATTTCTTTTGCTGAAGATTGTTTCTTTCAACTCTCTTTTTAAAAGTTATCAGATTCCTTAATATTCCTGTAAATCCATTTGCTAGAGATTAGTGTGACTTTCAGGGAACATCGCAGTAATAGCCACAGGCCAAAACGACACCTAATTATTTCATTGCTCCAGTCAACTGGTAATTGGCCCTATGGCTATGTTTTGTCCTGGAAAAATAAATGAATTCTAGCAATCTAGAGTATAAAATCAAGGCAATTATGTTGAACCTTTACAAATCGCTGGTTAGGCCTAAACTGGAGCATTGTGTCCAATTCTGTGGAGTGACATCAGTGGTGACTTGATAACCCAGAACAACAACAACAACAAAATGACATTTATAGAGCGCCTTTCATGTCGGGAGGACGTCCCAAAGCGCTGAACAGTCAGGTGTCGAGGTCCGAGCATAGGGGAGGAGTGGTGTAAGGGTGAGGGAAGGCAGAGAGGTGGGAGGGCGACCAAAGGCACGATCGAAGAAGTGTAGGTAGGTCGACAGTAGATGAGACATAAACTATAATCTTAGAGCAAACTCCAGCAAACCGGCAGTCTAGTGAGGAGGGCTCTATATCACGATTGTCCCATAGGTGATTTAAACTCCAGCTGAGGTGACTGGTTGCTTTGGAGGGCAAACGAGCATGACTTCTTGACTGGCATCCATGGCAATGTACCTCTGGAGATGGAAAAGAGTCTAAACATGTTCTGGAAAGGACAGGGAGGGAATTGGTGAAAGGAGGAAAAATAAAATGTGCTTTGAATTATTCACATAGGCCAAATCATCCATAGGTACATTGTTAGAGATTTATAAATTATTCAAGAGGAAACTGGAAGCTTTATTAGCTATCTGAGGTGTGATATGTGACAACTCACCACGTACAGGTGTTGTATTAATCCACAGTTAGGTGCTAAAATTATAACGTTTACAACATTCATTACTGCAATTGCTCCAATTGGCAATGTTACTTACAGAATTTGATGAGCGTATCAGAAAGTAATAGTCTTAAGTATTAAAACAAAACTTGTGGTTAGAGGAACAGAGTCAATTGGAGGAATGGGTCACAAAATTAGAATTTATTTGATGAGATGAGAAAGATTTAAAGACATTTTTCACAGATTATGCCAGAGACTGATCGAATGAGAGCAATATAATAATAATCCTTGCATTTGAGATAGCACCTCATCACGTCTTCGAGACGTCTCAAAGTGCTTCACAGGATATACTGTAACGTGAATTGACTGTGTATTTTGTGGGCGAAACGAGGCAGCCAATTGCGCACAGCAGCGTCCCACAAACAGTCGGGGATTGAGTAATGCCTTTTATCTGCTCTGTACTGAGCCCCTGCTTTCATCATTGGCGTTACAGCAATGTCAGGGTCTCAGTGTTGTGATTACGTGTCTCTTATTGCAACACAATCTGTTTTCACTTTATTTTGGACCCAGCATCGCACAGTCAGCAGTTTATAAGTGAAGAACAAAGCCTTGATCCCATGTGGGTACAAGACCAAGTGGGCAACTTGATAACAGCCCCGCTAAGCAATAATAAAACACCATCAATAACACTAACCCTAAAAAGGGGCTATTACTGTATTTACAACAATTCATTCCAAATCTGCAACGATGGGCTGTGAAAGGCCAGATAAGCTGAAGAAGACGTCCTCCTGCAAACCATTCTCAGAGCGATGGGTAGTGGCTAAAGATAACGGCCGTGTGTTTTTTATAAAGAAAAGGACGTTGTCAAGGTTTGGGTGAGATTGTAAATATACTGAGTGCCTGGAACATCAAGGAACCGGCTCCTGCGAGCTGCTCCTCCACAGACTAGCAAAGTGATTGATGTCGCAGCCGATCTCTGCGTCACACCATCTTTTGGTCGAGTTTTACCCACGTTATTTGACAGCGGGGAGGCATCGCAGCGAAGGCAAACAGCGCCCGGCCAAGTAGAAAGATCAGTACAGTGTTACTTATTAATCAGATTCTTAAAGTTCTGTCTAAGATAATTGGCCAAAGAGCCAGCGAGGAGAGGAGAATTTTTTTAATAATTCTTTTTTTGACAATAATCCCTGCATTGATGTAGCGTCTTATCACGTCATTGCGATGTCTCAAAGCGCTTCACAGAATTCAACTGTAAAGTGAAGTGACTGTGTATTTTGTGGGCGAAACATTACGTGTTATGTGAAGTCCTCCCTATCACTTTTCATCAGTGGGAGCTTGAAGTTGCTTGAGGAGTATAGAAGTGTTTTTAGTGCTATAGAGCAGCATTAGTAGTATACCATCAAGAGGTCTGTGCTTCAACAAGAGAAACCAGGCACAAGTTGGATTTAGTTGAGGAGGATCAATACAAACACAAACACATTCCTGGCCATCGGAAAGGGTTTCCAAGCCTTTATATATGGAAATGAGTCTGGACCCAGCTAAACTGGATTTTCATTTGTAAATGGTATTTAGGTAGAAATCGGCACAAATCCTTTTAGTTGGGAACATGGATTCAGATCCAAGTGCCTCTCAATTCACTCTCAGTTAGTAACTGCTCGGTTAGTGCGCCACAAAGGTTATGTTTGGACTTGAGATACATAATGACGACTTCTAGTTTACAACTTTATCGCAGCTTGTTAAAATTCCGAAAAGGTCAGAAGAAATGTGAGATGTGTTTTGAGCCGTGAGCAAATGGAAGAAGGTTTATGGTGATTGGACCTTTGGTATTTCACAGTCTGTGTAGAGCCTTTCTGAACTGAGTGCCAATTGTGATGTATGTTATTGATTAAAGCCAAAGACATAATACTGACAGAAACTCAGACTATTTGGATCTCGTTCCACGTCATTTTCGACATTTAAAACAGCGAACAGATAAATCATTTAGATTCTTAAATACATTGAGTATTTTGTGTATGTTAATAGTAATTTGGTCAGTCAATCCACGACTGTTTGTGGGACGCTGCTGTGCGCAATTGGCTGCCGCATTTCGCCCACAAAATACACAGTCAATTCATTTTACAGCTTAGAGACGTCTCGAAGACATGGGAGGGGGGAGGTGACCGTAGGGACAGTCGAAGAGGAAGGTCTTCAGGCGCGACCTGAAGATAGGGAAGGAAGGGGCAAGTTGGATACTTCTTAAAAGAAACTTAAAACATTCCAATTGTGTGGCTCGTTTTTGTCTGGGGTAAAATCATTAGCATAGTTGTAAATGAGGTGTGATTTACTCTCAGATCTTTGAAGTATCTCACACTGTGTTCTGCCTGCGTCTTTCCTTTGTGCAATCTCAAAAGACGTTGGTTCCATCTCAGTGTCGTATATAAGTGGCGAATAAGCATCAAAGTGCAAGGCCAGCAATAGTTCTGCTTTTACTTAAGAGTTTGCTTTCATCATCCTCATTATTAAGATTTCATTAACGAGTACTAATAGTTTATTCATGGCTCAAAAAAAATCTGTCTGTACCTCTATAGCTCTGCACCAAAGGCTTGCTGAATCACATTATATCCAAGTAGTTGTCCTTGTAAAATTACAAAATAATTGTAATTACCTAAAGAGTTTAATTTAGCCTATTTTATTTTAGTCAATTATTGGATCGCTTTCTGGAAGGATGCAAGGATTATTATTATTTTAAAATATTAAAAAAATTAACTTGATATTTTGTTGTACGTAACAAGAAATATTCCCCTCATGCTATTTAAGAGATTTGTACTGAGCAGCGAGAACCATAATAATCATAATAATAATCCTTGCATTTGATACAGCACCTCATCAAGTTTTCGAGATGGCTCAAAGCGCTTCACAGAATATACTGTAAAGTGAATTGACTGTATATGTTGCGCACAGCAGTGTCCCTCAAACAGTCGTGGTTTGAGTGACCAAATAATTTTTTAAAAGGGATTATTACCCCAGGAAAGCGATCCGCCAATCGACTTAACAACTGGGTTCCTACTTACTGCTGGTAAACAGAGGGGTGTGGAGTAAGGAAACTTGCCCAACGTTTCGCCCTGACCCGGGAATCAAACCCGGGTCCTCTCGCTTGCGAGGAGAGTGCTCTAACCACTGAGCTACAGGACTCCAACTATGATCATTGGTTTAGTTATTCCTGAGCCTGCTCACAGGAGGAGTCATGCTGTGGGATTCAATGAGACACCAATGGCTTTCCTGACCTTCACAAAGGCCTTTAACCTCACAAGTTTGAACTTGGAGCAACTTCATCTGCCCAGAGATGCCTGACTGACACAGGCTCCCTCCCTGCCCTGACACAAACATTTACTGCTGGGGAGAGTCTGCGGAGAGAGAGAGAGAACAAAGGGCACAGCTGGGAAAGGGCTGGGGAATTGTGGCAGGGACAGCAGGAGTAATAGGAAAAATGTGGAGACATGGAACATAGGAACAGGAGGAGGCCATTCAGCCCCTCGAGCCTGTTCCTCCGTTCTGTTAGATCATGGCTGATGATAATAATAATCCTTGCATTTGATACAGCGCCTTATCACATCTTCGAGACATCTCAAAGCGCTTCACAGATTATACTGTAAAGTGAATTGACTGTGTATTTTTGTGGACGAAATGAGGCATCAATTACCCGCCTTTGCCCCATATCCCTTGATCCCCTGACCCAACAAAACCATATCCACCTCAGTCTTGAAAATGTGACTGGATCCGGCCCTAATCCACAGACTTTTGGGGGAGGGAGAGAGAGTTCCAAGATTTCCACTTTACCCTTTGTGTGAAAAAAACTGCTTCCTGATTTAAAGAGAAAGAGATGGAAGGAGAATTAGGAATAATTCAACAGATAAGGGTTTAGATAGACTTCCTCCACAGAGCCTGAAAGGGTTGAGAACTGTTAGTTTTTTTAATGAAGGTATGTTTTATCCCTCATCCCTCCAGAGGGAAATTAAAA